CAAAGAGCCATCCTGCCATGCTTCACAAGTGAAATCTGATCTAAATTAGATAAACTGCACTATCAGGCTTGCAAGTTACTTAACCAGTGCACACTGGATGCAGTATTTTAGATATAATCAGTCTAAGTGTTTTGAAAGCAAAGACACCATCCTGACCAAGTTCAGTCACGTCTGAAAACAGCTCAGTGTGGCATGTTTTAATGTTTTTTTTTTACGAAAGCAAACTCCTTGCAGGGAATTACTTTTAGTAACTGAGAGAATTTACAGCAGAAAGTTCAAGTAACTAGCCACAAAGTTTAAGAACAAAGAACAAAGAAAATTACAGCACAGGAACAGGCCCTTTGGCCCTCCAAGCCTGCACCGATCCAGATCCTCTATCTAAACCTGTCGCCTATTTTCCAAGGATCTGTATCCCTCTGCTCCCTGCCCATTCATGTAGCTGTCCAGATACATCTTAAATGACGCTATCGTGCCCGCCTCTACTACCTCCGCTGGCAACGCGTTCTGGGCACCCACCACCCTCTGCGTAAAGAACTTTCCACGCACATCTCCCCTAAACTTTTCCCCTCTCACCTTGAAATCGTGACCCCTAGTAGTAATTGAGTCCCCCACTCTGGGAAAAAGCTTCTTGCTATCCACCCTGTCTATACCTCTCATGATTTTGTAGACCTCAATCAGGTCCCCCCTCAACCTCCGTCTTTCTAATGTAAATAATCCTAATCTACTCAACCTTTCTTCATAGCTAGCGCCCTCCACACTAGGCAACATCCTGGTGAACCTCCTCTGCACCCTCTCCAAAGCATCCACATCCTTTTGGTAATGTGGCCACCAGAACTGTATGCAGTATTCCAAATGTGGTCAAACCAAAGTCCTACACAACTGTAACATGACCTGCCAACTGTTGTACTCAATATCCCGTCCGGTGAATGAAAGCATGCCGTATGCCTTCTTGACCACTCTATCCACCTGCATTGCCACCTTCGGGGTACAATGGACCTGAACACCCAGATCTCTCTGTGCATCAATTTTCCCCAGGGCTTTTCCATTTACCACATAGTTCGCTCTTGAATTGGATCTTCCAAAATGCATCACCTCACATTTGCCTGGATTGAACTCCATCTGCCATTTCTCCACCCAACTCTCCAATCTATATTCTGCTGCATTCTCAGACAGTCCCCTTCACTATCTGCCACTCCACCAATCTTCATGTCATCTGCAAACTTCCTAATCAGACCATCTATACCTTCCTCCAGATCATTTATATATATCACAAACAACAGTGGTCCCAACACGGATCCCTGTGGAACACCGCTGGTCATAGTTCTCCATTTTGAGGAACTCCCTTCCACTAGAACTCTGTCTGCTGTTGCCCAGCCAGTTCTCTATCCATCCAGCTAGTACACCCTGGACCCCACGCAACTTCACTTTCTCCATCAGCCTACCATGGGGAACCTTATCAAACGCCTTACTGAAGTCCATGTATATGACATCTACAACCCTTCCCTCATCTATCGACTTTGTCACTTCCTCCAAGAATTCTATCAAGTTGGTAAGACATGGCCTTCCCTGCACAAAACCATGCTGCCTATCACTAATAAGCCCATTTTCTTCCAAATGCAAATAGATCCTATCCCTCAGTATCTTCTCCAGCAGCTTCCCCACCACTGACGTCAGGCTCACCGGTCTATAATTACCTGGATTATCCTTGCTACCCTTCTTAAACAAGGGGACAACATTAGCAATTCTCCAGTCCTCCGGGACCTCACCCGTGCTCAAGGATGCTGCAAAGATATCTGTTAAGGCCCCAGCTATTTCCTCTCTTGCTTCCCTCAGTAACCTGGGATAGATCCCATCCAGACCTGGGGACCTGTCCACCCTAATGCTTTTTAGAATACCCAACACTTTTCCCCCCCTCCTTATGCCGACTTGACCTAGAGTAATCAAGTATCTATCCCTAACCTCAACATCCGTCATGTCCCTCTCCTCAGTGAATACCGACGCAAAGTACTCATTAAGAATCTCACTCATTTTCTCTGACTCCTCGCATAACTTCCCTCCTTTGTCCTTGAATGGGCCAACCCTTTCTCTAGTGACCCTCTTGCTCCTTATGTACGAATAAAAGGCTTTGGGATTTTCCTTAACCCTGTTTGCTAAAGATATTTCATGACCCCTTTTAGCCCTCTTAATTCCTCGTTTCAGATTAGTCCTACTTTCCCGATATTCTTCCAAAGCTTCATCTGTTTTCAGTCACCTAGACCTTATGTATGCTTCCTTTTTCCTCTTTGCTAGTCTCACAATTTCACCTGTCATGCATGGTTCCCTAATCTTGCCCTTTCTATCCCTCATTTTCACAGGGACATGTCTGTCCTGCACTCTAATCAACCTCTCTTTAAAAGCCTCCCACAAATCAAATGTGGATTTTCCCTTTAAACAGCTGCTCCCAATCCACATTCCCCAGCTCCTGCCAAATTTTGCTATAGTTGGCCTTCCCCCAATTTAGCACTCTTCCTTTAGGACCACTCCCGTCTTTGTCCATCAGTATTGTAAAACTTACGGAATTGTGATCACTATTCCCAAAGTAATCCCCTACTGAAACTTCAACCATCTGGCCGGGCTCATTCCCCAACACCAGGTCCAGTGTGGCCCCTTCCCGAGTTTACATACTGCTCTATAAAACCGTCCCGGATGCTCCTTACAAATTCTGCTCCATCTAAACCCCTAACACTAAGTGAATCCCAGTCAATGTTGGGAAAATTACAAATCTCCCATCACCACCACCCTGTTGCTCCTACATCTTTCCATAATCTGCCTACATATCTGTACCTCTATCTCACGCTTGCTGTTGGGAGGCCTGTAGTACATCCCCAACATTATTACCGCACCCTTCCTATTTCTGAGCTCTGCCCATATTGCCTCACTGCTCGAGTCCTCCACAGTGCCGTCCTTCAGCACAACTGTGATATCCTCTTTGACCAGTAATACAACTCCTCCACCCCTTTTACCTCCCACTCTATCCCACCTGAAGCATTTATATCCTGGGATATTTAGTTGCCAATCTTGCCCTTCCCTCAACCAAGTCTCAGTAATAGCAATAACATCATACTCCCAGGTACTAATCCAAGTGCTAAGTTCATCTGCCTTACCTACTACACTTCTCGCATTAAAACAAATGCACCTCATACCACCTGTCCCTTTGAGTTCATCATCTGCTCTTTGCCTACTCTTCCCCTTAGTCACACTGACTTCATTATCTAGTTCCTTACAGGCTTTAGTTACTACCTCCTTACTGTCCACTAACCTCATTTGGTTCCCATCCCCCTGTCACATTAGTTTAAAAGAGGTTTTAAAATGTAACATTTTTACCTTCTATTAATTAATAACCTTTATCAGACAACTTGCCACAAGCAGCAAAATCTAAACACCTGCTCATTTCTGAGCTTAAATCTTCATCCACCTACATGCCAACCCAGTTAGAGTTTTTTGATTTGTCAAATGCATTCATGTTAACTTGAATATGTCACCTTAAACACACAAATCTCAACTTTAAACTTCACCAGGATCTGTGACCAAGACATACCTGCTAAAGATTATGATAAAAATTATGTAGAAAACACTAGAAAAGAATGGAATATGAGCAGAGTGCAAAGATCAGGAACTTAGAAAGAAATTCTCAGCACAGATCAGATCACCAGAAATGAGAACAGCATTAGTTCATTCAGTCCCACAAGCCTGCTCTGCCATTCAACACGATCATGGCTGATCTGACTCGGATTCTACTTTCCTGTCTAGTCCTCATATCCCACAACTCCCTTGAAGATCAAAAGTCGAACTCAGCCTTAAACATATCAATGAGCCAGTTGCCAATGCTCTCAATGGAGAGAGAACTGCAAGTGAACACAGGGGAGTGCAAGCAAACTGAAGTTCTGGGAGGGGCTAGGATCTTACCGAAAAGGATAAATGGAGAAGGTCAAGAGAACTTTAGAATAAGTGATGTAAGGGCTTGGGTGCAACAGATGGCATAAATAAATTTCAAAACAATCAAAACGAAAAGAGGAACAGAAATTTTGGGAAGTTCTGCAGCAAATACTGGTCACTGTCCTTGGATGAGTTAATTGGACAATTATTTTTACATCAAAATGTGGAGATTGCCACAATTATTGCTCATCCCTGCATGCCCAAGGAAACAGGAGTTGAATCCCCTTATGATCCATTGCCGTTCTGGTTGGAATGGCAATGAGGGAAGAAATTCACTGAATAACTGTATGGAGTATTGTCGTCATTTGGTAGCACAGAAATTAATTGCTGTTGTAAAAATACAATTGTCAACGCTTTCCTCAAAACGCTGTTTCTCCTTTACAATGGTATTCTTGTGAATATCAGATGAGTGCAAGGCAAAAGTTTCAAATTATTTTGTTGGTTTTTTACCAATGGGCTGATCGTCATTCTCTTTGCTCAATACTTCATTGTGCCAGCTGTGGCTCAGTGGGCAGCACTGCCACCTCAAATGCAAAGGGATGGCTTCAAGTCCCTCTCCAAAAACAGGAACACAAAATCTAGGCATACAAACTTAATGAAGTGTTAACCTTTGGAGATGCTGTTGCTTCGGGGAGGTATTTATTTGAATAAATACCTGCTCTCTTATGTGCCACCATTTTGAAGAGGAGCAGAGAATATATCTTTGTATTAAAGCCAATACTTTTCCCACAATCAATATAAAAAAAGGATCAATTTACGATGATACTTTGGTTTGTGATATCTTCCTGAGTGCAAGTAGGTTGCCAATTTCCTATATTACAATAGGGCTACTCTGCATTATTGGTTGTGAAACACTTCAGGAAGCCTGGTACTCAAGAAAGCTGCTATACAATTGCAAAGATTAACATGTCTATTATGCACCTGATACCAAATAAATTTCTAAAAATATCAAAGAAACAATAATTTTGCTTCTCACAGGAGGTGGACCAAGACTCATTAAATTACTTGCACCTTATAACACTCACCTTTTGGAGTTCCCGATGTGATGGGTGGGACCGCAGTCACCATGTTTGTTCCACCTGGTTGTCTTGGGGTCCTGGGAGAGCCACCTGGTTGCCTTGGAGAATCCTGAGAGCAATCACAGTATCATTCATGTTGACCTTAAATGTATTAATGTATTTGCAAAAAGTAGAACATGAACACAATCACATTGCTCGAATAGGGCAAGAGTTCAGCACATCTGGTTTATTGAATTAGCCTGAAAATACAAGCAGCTCCCTTTCCTTGTTATGTCCAGGAACAGACCAAACCCAGAACGCACAAAAATGGCCTTTCAGCTCAATCGGACTGGCAGACCACACAATTACAGAGCAGATAAATGTCATTCAGCCCCACTTGTTTGTGAGCCAGCTGAGTAATCAATTCACTCCACTCCTATTGCCCCACTGCTTTGAATAACGGTCCTTTTTTACCATATACCTAATTCATTTCAAACTTACTGCTGAACCTGTTTTTACTATCCTTACAGTGAACTTCATATTTTTTAAAATTAGCTTGCAACTTTTGAGTTTTGCTTGAATGCAGAACTTCTCAAAAAAATAATTCAAACGTACATCTTGTAGCCCCTCTTTGCCAATCTGCTCAGTTTGTCTGCTAACTTCCTTTCTGATCAAGAATTTAATCTCTGACCATAAGATGGCAGTGAAGAGTTCAATTTGCTCTTATTCCAATAAGTGATGGGTGTCATACTGAGGGATTGTTGCATTGATAAAAATGCAGTGTTCTGGATGAGTTATTAAATAGAGGCCCTCTATCTGCTCTCTCAGGTACACATGGAGAAAGCAGATTCAATCTTGTGCCAATGTCTATCCCTCAAACAAGAGCGCGCACACAAGAGGAGTCTGACCATATCGCATTATATTCACAGGGTTTTGCATTCTCATTTTGCTTCATATTTAAGTGCAGGCCAGTCGAGGGCTCTATGATAGGCAATCAACATCAGCCAGAGTAGCAGATCCTGAAACAGAGGAAGCAGCACCAAGAGGAGTGGGTGAAAGGAGGACCCCAAGGCAGACAGCATCACCTAGGTGGTTAGAAAAGGACCTGCTGACATGTCGAGACAAAAATTATGTCTACTGGAACCATTGGAATTATTTCTTGCCCTACAACAGGGAAAGGAACTGGCTGTTGAGTGTCTCTAGTAAGTGGTTAAGATCTTTTCTATTCTTAAATTTCAAAATAATTTACAAATTTTTAGTAAAATTAATCAACCACAACATAAATATGAGTAACAGTTAATTAAAACTCATTCAAGATGACTGTACTGGTGGTGTGTCAAGGCTGCAACATGTGGGAGCTCCTGGATGCCACTGTGATCCAGGGCAAACCGTTGCAGTGGATATTTGAAGTCTGAACATCTTTGGCTCAGAGTTTAATGAGCTCAAGGCTGAACTATAGACACGGTGATGCTTCAGGGAGAGGATGTTCTCTGTACCAAAGAGACAGTGACACCACTTTGAACTAAGTCTCTGATTTGGCTAGGGACAGGACAGTGTAACAGGATAAAGCAGGTAAGGAGACTCAGAGGACAGAGCATGGGAATGCCAGTCTCTGGAACTGTCCAATATGTTTGGAGTTGTCTCAGGTTGTTTTGAAGCTTTTTTGGGGGCAGGGAGGGGGCGTTCATTGGTGCATTGCACCGTGGTACAGGGGCCATTCAAGTAGAAGGAGCAACAAGAAATGCAGTAGGAGGAGGAGAGGATAGTACGGTCAGGGAGACTGACACCGTTCTCTGCAGCATTATTACCTGTGCTAATTTGTATACCATTCAGGTCACATAAAATTAGAGATGAATGTGTGGTTCAAAAACTAATGCAAGTGTACTGGACTGTTTTGGGGCCCAGTGGAGAAAGTGAGAGCACGCAAGGGATCAAATGTAGAATTATGTTATATATCAAAGAGTAGTGACAAAGTAAGAGAAGGAAATATTAATATGGGAAATGAGGATCAAAGGATGGCTAGAACGAACATCAAAAATACCTAGGGTACACCAAGAAGACTGGAAGATTATAAAGATTAACAAAAACACAAAACTAAAGGCTCTGCATCTGAACAGGTGTAGCATTCATTACAATAGTGAACAAATTGATAGCACACATTGAAGTAAATAAATCTCATCACCATTATGCAGGTTTGGCTAAATGATGACAAGGACTGGGTCCTAAATATTGAGGGGTAAATGACAAAGAGGATAGGTAGGTAGGAAAAATGGAAGGGTAGTACGATGGATCATGGATAGCACCTGTGCGGTGGTTACAGATGACTGACCTTGGTTCAAGAGATCAAGGTGTAAAACAGGTTTGGGTCAAAATGAGGATGAGTAGGGGAAAGTAGTTACTAGTTGGAGTAGTGCACGGATCCTCTAACAGTGACCAGAATGCGGGACAAAGTATAGAAGAAATACTGGGTGCTTGTGATAAAGGCACAACAATAATCACGGGTGACTTATTAGATGTGGTGATGTAACAGGAATAGTGACCTCACAGTAAAGGCACTCCTTGAGAGCAACCACAATATGACTGAATTTTACATCCAGCTTGAAAAGGTAGAAGCTAGATCTAAAACTCATTTTAAATCTATATAAAGGATGACTGTGTGATCATGAATGCTGAGCAAGTTGAAATAAACTGGGATGTTAAACTAGACCACAGATTGAGACAGATGCAATAGTACGCATTCAAGAGGATTTTTCAAAATACTCAAAGTACATTTCTATTATGACAAAAAAATTCCAAGGGGAAGACCCACCATCCATAGTTAACAATAGGTAGTTAGGGAAAGCATCAAGCTCAAGAAAAACACATACAACTGCACAAGGAGGAGTATATTCTGACCAGAGTGTGTGGGATCTTGCACTTTGGTAAGAAGAATAAAAGTATGGACTGTTTTCTAAATGGGGAGAAAATTCAGAAGTCTGAAGTGCAAAGAGACTTGGAAGTTCTAGTCCAGGATTCTCTCAAGGTAAACTTGCAGGTTGAGTCAGTAGTCAGGAAGGCAAATGCAATGTTGGCATTTATTTTGAGAGAACTTGAATATAAAAGCAGGGATGTACTACTGAGGCTTTATAAGACCTTGGTCAGGCCACATTTGGAGTACTGTGTGCAGTTTTGGGCCCCATATCTCAGGGAGGATGTACTGGCCTTGGAGCGGGTTCAGAGGAGGTTCACAAGAATGGTCCCAGGAATGAGAAGCTTAATACATGAGGAACATTTGAGGTCTGTGGGACTATACTCATTGGAGTTGAGAAGGGTGAGGGGGATCTAATCGAAACCTACAGAATACTGAATGGCCTGGACAGGACAGAGTGGATGTTGGGAAGATGCTCCCATTTGTAGGAGAGACCAAGACCCGAGGGCACAGCCTTAGAGTAAAGGGAAGACCTTTTAGAACGGAGATAAGGAGAAACTTCTTCAGCCAGAGAGTGGTGAATCTATGGAATTCACTGCCACAGAAGGCTGTGGAGGCCAGGTTATTGAGTACATTTAAGATGGAGATAGATAGGTTCTTGATTATCAAGGGGATCAAGGGTTACAGGGAGAAAGCAGGAGAATGGGGTTGAGGAACGCATCAGCCATGATTGAATGGCAGAGCAGACTCAATGGGCTGAATGGCCTAATTTCTGCTCCTGTGTCTTATGGTCTTATGATGAAGAACAAAAGAAATTAACAAAAGTTAAGGAAGAAAAAAATAGACTCAGGAGGGAAAGCTATAAATGTAAAACCAGATTAAAAAGGGAGTTTGAACAAGCATTTAGAAAGGAAAAACTGAGCGTTGATCCTGGAGTAAAAATGTGTAATTAATTGTAGATAATAAGGAAATGGCTAACAAAAATAAACAGATGTTTCATTTCTGGCATCATTACAGAGGATTATCTGGCCTAGTGGGATTATTGCTGGACTGTTAATCAAGAGACCCAGATAAAGTTCTGGGGACACGGGTTTGAATCCTGTTATGGCAGATGATGAAATTTAAATTCAATAAAATATCTGGAATTAAAGAGTCTAATGATGACCATGAACCCATTGTCGATTGTCAGAAAAACTCATCTGGTTCATTAATGTCCTTTAGGGAAGAAAACTGCCATCCTTACCTGGTTGGCCTACATGTGACTCCAGACCCTCAGCAATGTAGTGGACTCTCAACTGCCCTCTGGGCAATAAATGCTGCCTGATCAGTGATGCCCTCATCCCATGAATGAATAAAGATACAAAAACATTCCAGTAATAGCTGTAAATCCAGAAATGGAAGAGAGAAAGGAACTTGGAAAAATTATAATCTCGAGGAAGAGGAAGCAAAGCTGATGGAGGTAATGGCTGACCAGTCTCAGGTCTAAATGCAACTTCATCCTAGGATCTTAAAAGGAGGTGGCTAATGAGTTAGTATCTATGTTGGCTTTAATGAGACAAAGATGGAACAACAGGATTGGAACCCTCTAAAGCAGCCATGATGGACCGAAACCCTTCTTCAGCAATAACTCAAACAGCTTTCACATTGTTGCTAATATGAATCTTCTGTATGTTCCCCACCAACTCCAGACACGTGACCAACTAAACACCACTGAGAAAGGTTCATGGCGCTAGCTGCACATTAATCGCCCTGATGCTGGAGGTGTACCATAACTGCTCTGCATTATGAACATGGATCCTCTCCTTGCTTATGCAACTGACATTCATACTCCTGCAGCAGCAATGTGAACAGTCAGCTCTGCTGTACAGGACAGCTACAACTTTGCCTCTACTACTGTCGGTTCTACAGCACAAGAAATGAGAAAGAGCAATCTGGCCTGCTTTCCTCTTGCACCAGTTCGAGTCCAGGATTCCTTGAGCCAGCTTCCAGCACTTGGGCTGATAAATCTGAGTCTTTTGCTTGCACTAGGGACTAAAGGGTCTTGCTCAGAAGTCTACTGGCATGATCAAGGAACTCTTAAATACTGGCCTCCAAACTATAAAGCAGTACAACATACAGGCATCTTTAGGCACACCGCTCATATGCAGAGTGGTATATTTTGTGTTGCAATATTGGGACTGTCCAGAGGAAGACAAAGCCTTTTTTGATTTTAAAAAATAAACAAATTTTCATTTCAGACAGTGCAAGTTCTCTTTTCTCAGACTTACGGCAGGTCTTGAAGGAGTGGCAGGTTGTTTGGCAAGAAGAGACTGCAAGACAAAGGGTAAGCAGCGTTAGAATACATCTGAAAGGTAAACACCATCTTCACCGTAGCAAGAAATTACAAACTTTACTGAGCTTTCAAATCATCAATATCAACCTGCATTCCTGCAAAAGCTAAACTTCAAAATGTTATGAAGATAGTCAAAAGCTAGCAACTGTTCTGCACAACCCAATGTTGCAGTTTTGGATTTGTAGAGGGGATGATAGAGGAAAGAGCAATAAATAATTATTTCATCTATTTTAATTGGTGATATGAATCATTGTGAAGTTCAAAACCATAATAGAGAACTACAGTAGGGTAGTGGTCGTGTCACTGAACCAACAATCCACGACCCAGGATGCAGAGGACAAATATTCAGTTCAGAGTATTTGCCTAGGTTTCTGAATTACCAGTCAATGACACTATAACTATGCCAACACATCTGTACATGGCTAGTCCTATTCAGTTTCTGGTCAATGCTGAGCCCCAGGATATTGATAGTAAGGGATTCAGCAATAGTAATACCACTGAATGTCAACAGGTAATGGCCAGATTCTCTCATTGGAGATAGTCATTGCCTGGCATTTTCTAGCATGATTGTTACTTGCAACTTGTCAGCTCCAGTCTAGGTATTGTCCAAGTTTTGCTGCTTTAGTGTCTGAAGACTCAAATGGTGCTGAATATTGCGCAGCGAACATCCCTATTTCTGACCTTATGACCAAAGGTCAATGATGAGGCAGATGATGTTTAGGCCTAGGATACCACACTGTGAAACTCCAGCTTCATGCAATCAAACAGGATCTTGATGTCAAGGGCAGTCAGTCTCACCTGACACCACTGGAGTTTAGTTTTTGTATCCATGCTTGGACTAAGGCTGTAATGAGATCAGGGAACCCAAAACTGAATGTCAGTGAGCAGTTTATTACCAAACAAGTGCTGCTTATAGTATTGTTGATGACCCCTTCTATCACTTTGCTAATTATTTATAGTAAACGCCTAGATTGCTATTTGGGTTGGACTGGGCCTGCTATTCGTGTGGAGGACATACCTGGGCAATATTTCATAACATTGGGCTCATAGAACTATAATTCAGTGATGGACGCCCACGTCAACTAAAACAAAGACACACGATCTATCAAGCCAGATTTCATTCTGGAATCTGACTTGAGCTGTAGTAAAATTAGCCAGCATAATAATACCAGACAATCTGTCACTGTGAGGCTGACTATGTGACAAATACTGACAAGGACACAGAATTCCCTACTCTTCTTCAATCTAAACCCTCAAGATCTTTT